TGGCCTCATCACTAAGCATCGACACTACAGAGCTCTATTGTCACGGTGAGGGAGCGCAGCCGCCTTGCGAAGAAAACTGCTGACACACCTGTGCATGTTCTTGTTTCATATTATAGAACAGAGACATCTTGTATGATAGCTTCAGAATAAATTGGAAATCCTCTGACGTAGGCCTCCCACTTTTACAATCATCTGCAAATTGACCAAAGATTGGATGCAACAATGTGACTGGTGTAGAAGAGGCACCTGGAAGTCGATGACACAAAATGGGTTGTTCATACTTTTTCTGCAGATCAGCAAATTCTGCAAATTGTGTGTAGCTTGAAGGATGTATGTGCTTGGGGAGTGTGTCATCGAAGAATCGCCATTTCCTTTCAATATATCCATCAATATCACCACCAGATGGCCTTTTTTTCTCATGAGATTTTAATTTCTTGTCTTTAGTATGTCCATATAATTACAAGAAAGAGACAGGCTGCCATGAGTAAATGCAATGTGTGTTATTCTACTCTACCCCACATACACACTACTTTATGTCCCCAATGCCTGAGTCACAAAGTTGTTACCTGGCTGAGTCATTTCACGGAGCTTTGCTCCCCACTCCTCCACCTGCTCCAAACAATCCCTCCTGTCCTTCTCCAGTTGCTTCTTCTCTGCTGCAAGTTCGTTCTTCTCCTCTTTCCACTCTGCCCACTGCACCTCTGTCCCTTCTTCCTTCTGCAGTTTCCTCTTCAGCTCAGCCAACCACTGTCCATCCTCTCCTCATTGAACTCTTTCAATGCTGCCTCCACCTTCCTTAGCTGCTCCTCCGCCTTTGCCAACTCTTGTCTTACTTCTTCAGCTGTTGCCATTTCTTTTTTTGTTAGAGAGAAGAAGATGTGCTGTGCACGATTTGATCTAATACCGTAATATACTACAGTCTGGGAGATTTCCAAATTTGATAACACAGATTATTGCCTTTTATAATAAGGGAAAAAAGTCTAGAAATTTCTTTCTAACCAATTAAATTTTTTGATCCATATATAGTATCAACTGTTCGATTTATTATAAACATACCAAATGAATGGATTTCACTCAGCAAGCTATTTAAGCTATTTGAAAGGCCACTCTAAAAGATTGTCTAAACAGAACTACTCATTATCATGATTTTTAATTGATATTATAAAATCATCCCTTTTAGCAATTTCCATCACAGACTTGATATAGTTTTTTGATCATTCATCCAACTTGTTTCTTTAATGCTTCTTTCAGGTAGAGGTTACTGATGAAGATCTACCTAATCACTCCTTTCAAAAGTGTTTCGTATTCTGAACCTAACAAGGATACTTGGATTCCACAATCGAAACTTTCGAAGTGAGTTAGCATCTTGTTGGATCTTATTTTCTTTCTGTTTTCCTGAATATAAAGAAATTAAGTCATTCGTTTAATAACGTGCTTAATGAAAGACTGTCCCTTAATGAAAGATTGTTAATGACAATCTGATTGTAGTGCAAGGGACTTTGTTGTAGTGCATTAATTCTCTGAAGTCAATCAATACAGACAGTTCATGAAATACTTAGCCAGTTCCATTATACTCTTT